TACATTGATCTCAAATAGTGAAAGGAAAATATACATATTTATTTTATCAATATTGTTGTCGGTTGTAGAATTTGTACATCTCAATTTATTTTTACACTATTTCAGTTGGTTAAAATAGAAGTTTAATAATATACAAACGTTTGCTGTGTTGGTTATTCTTGTATGGAAGTATTATAAAAGGTCTGTAAGTTCATATATTGTAAAAATATGGTTATTTTGTCTTTCTGATGATTGTACATTTGTACGTGATCATTTCATTGACATTTAATAATATTTAATGCACCTATAAATATAATTTAATAACATTTTCATCGTAATTAAATAATATCAGTTAAATAGTAGTCGATAGTAATTATTTTGTTGATATTATGTCATTAGATTGTAATTCATTAATTCGTTCTTTAAACGATATTATTTTGTCGTGAAATTTCTTACTTAAAATTTATTTGGACTAGATATAATTACAGAACGTTATTACTATTATCTGCTGAACACTTATTTGAACAGTCGGAGCCGCTATGTTTAAAGTAGACACTCTTCTTTACATTTTCCTTATCGGATTTTTAAAGTCTAATACTCTAATTGAATATTTGATTATATTTTATTATATCAATATTATAGTCTATTTGATTATTAAAATGTAATGTTGTGTGTACTGTTAACTGTTAAACTTGGTGTAGTATTTGGTGTTACTCAGTATAGTGACTGTCAAATTGTAAAATGTTAAAGCTGTTTTAGTTATTCGTACGTGCCAGTGAGTAATGCAATATTTTTTAGTTATAAATATTAAATTACAATTTACATTGTATTAGGTCAATAGCTTTTTTAAACACGTAATTTTAATCCACGTCAATATTAATAATTTTAATTGCTCAGGTAGTACTTAATATATTACTTAACATAAATATATGCACTTGGCAAGTACATAATATTGCTTAAAAATTAAAACAATTCGGAAGTGTAAAATTTTTTATTTAATGTTTTTTTTTGTCTGAAGCTGACTCATTGGCTTATTATTTTATGCAATATTGTTAGCACTTATCAGGAATTTAGAATATTATTCATGTTTAAAGTTATGAATAAAAAATATAGTTAGTATATTTTTATCGTATTCATTTTAATCAAATATTTTGATTATCGGCTTATACATATTTTAATGTGTTTTAAATCGAATTTTAAAATTAATTAACCTATATAATATATATCTTCAAATGGCATGTCATTGTATAGAATATATATTTTATAATTCAATACTTATAAGTATTATATATTAAACGCAGATAACTTCGACGATTTTTTTCATGTCTTACTACAACTGTTAAAATACTAAATTTTAGTATACATAATATATCTAATTACATCAAGTGTCCTGAATATGATAAAGAGGTTACATGTCACAGTCAGCTGTGAGTTCAGTGGTTCTTATTGTTTCTATTGTCACTATAAAATCTAGAAAAATAACTAAAAATATTAATATATACATTTTTACATTTGAAATTTAAATTCGATTTTCATTTAACTCATATCATCTGAAAAACAAATAATTTTAATATAGTTGTTTAATTCGTTTCATGATAATATGCTGAATAATTAAGATTTATTAAGATAAATTAACGTTTTAATGGTATAATTATTTGTACAAGATAACTCATTATAGGATTCTATTTGTTCTGAAATATTTCGTTTTTTAAATATTCTGGTTGAATTTTACTTATATAATAATTTACTGTCTAGTTTAGCGTAGTGGAATTAGAAAAATGTTATTTTATAGTACCTACTATCTACATATTAACTGTATAATTAATAGGTGATTAGATTTAGCCAACAATGTTTTTGTATAAACCTACCAATATTTTAATACCTAACATGAATTACTATAGTTTTAGTATAATGAATGTAATAGAACTTGTACTATCTGTGTTCCATGTGATGCAGCTCTCGTGTAGAGTAATTGTCACATTTCACTAAACAGGTGTTACCAACGTTAATTAGTCACCCGAGCATTTTATGTTGTATAAACACACATCATTTAAAAAAAAAAAGTTTAACCTCGTGATGAAAATATTCAATTTTGAATATATCAGTATGATTTTGTATCAGTTACCTACTAAAACAATGTTTTTTTTAGTACAAAATCGATTTTTACGAATGATGTGGGTTTGAATAATATTTTTGAAAAATATTATTCATTTTTATCAATCAAAAATATGAAAAATAGTCTTTTTAATATTTTTTTTTTATTAAGGCTTAATGGGCAATACTTTGAAAAACATAATATTCATATAAAGACAAATCTGTACATCTGTATAAGATTATAAACGCACAATTAGCAGACTACTGAATAGTAGTTAAATTGAAATGATTCATGCGAATTTATATTGTTTTAAATGTTTTATTAATCTTTAACTATTACCTATGTACATGAATATTTTATAATCTTATTATACCAGCTAATTTGGTGACAGGCTGAGAGTTTTTAGAATTTTGATTACTTTAAGATTAGGATTCACTTATTATAGTTGATTATCCACCCTGTATGAATATACTACATGTATACATACTATATGTAGTATATATTTTAAAATCATTGATTAATGGTCTAAAAGTAACATGTCTTAAATTATTCATTACTTTTTTATCGGTAATTTCATTATGACCTTGTTGGCTTAAAGTTTCAGATAGCGATTTATATGGTATTATGGTTGCAGGGACATAATGTTGGCAAAATGTAATTACTTACACGAAGCGTATTACGAACGACGCTATCCTGACATACAATGTACGTGTTTGGCCTTTAAAAATGATTTCCCCTACATATTATGTCCACGTGTTTATCTTACCTCACAAAATGGTCCATAAAACGTCAAAATTACCTTATTAAATTTCTCATCAATTACTTAATATCAAATAAGATTTTTACTTTTTTGGTGTCGGGTAATTTTATTTTACATCGTAAAATTTTAGTTAGTATAATTATATTTGTATGTAGTAGTATGTGTGCTGATTTGGTTTTTATGAACAGACAAAATATAATGTTGTGCTAGCTTGTCTTCCTATCGTTCTTACCTCAGTGTGCAAAATATTATAATCCATGTCAAAAAAAGGGAATTCACTGGCTCCACAATCCAGTAGCCAAGGCATAGGTAAGAAAAATAAAATAATATATATTTGTATTACTTATATATTACACATGTATAATATATATGACTATATGAGTACCTATATTATATGCGTATATATGGACGATGTCCGGGTAAAAAAAAATAAGTCAATCTTTTAAAAAAAAATTATTATACATTTATTACCAGTCGACCCAGCCTACAATTATCTACAAATCAAATGTATAATAATATATTTATGCATAAAAATTGACTTATTCCTATTTACCCGGGCATCGTCCATATACACCCATATGTATACATTTATTATTATTCTTTTGTAATTTTCTTTCCATTCGCTAATTTGCTACTTAATTTAATTGTTGTAAGACAATTAGCAATAGCTTACCTATTTAATTAACAACATAAACTAATTAAAAACATAAAATATGGATATTTTATAAACTTGTTAAACATGTATTAAACAAATTTCTATATTCATGTTATTATTATACCTAGCATATGTTTCATATAACTAAACCCATTGATTATGTTATATTCTTATATTATAATTATACTATATTTTATAATTAATACTAAGGCATATACAATATACATATTGAACTTTATACCGGAATAATGATAAAAGTATATTACTTTAAATATTTAAGAGTGCACAAAATCTAATTTAATTCAACACGTAATCATAAAAATCGCTTTTGTAGTTTTTAGACGTATATAGATAGTATGCATGTTCAAAACATATGCTTATTAATATAATAACACATCATTAAAATAAACAAAACATTATTCAATAAAATAACTCGTCAAATGTCTACTAAATTAATAAAATTTAAAGAAAACTCGATTTTACGATAATATATAGTTAGGAGACATATTTACATCTAAAAATATCCCGGGTAATTAAATCAACTTAATCTGGTCGTATCTTTTGTATGTAAATAAATTCGAACATATATAAAATTTAATTAACCGATAATGTTGAGTCTTATTGATGTCGAAAACTAACTGTAAGCCATTTTTAAATGGAGTGCGTGGTTCCCAGAATTATTTTAGTCTATTATTGTATAATATAGTCAATATAACACTCCCGTTTACGCTACCTATATATTTCTAATTTTCATAAGAATTTCAGTATTTTCACACACACGCTTTCTATCACCCGAAAGCAAATAAACTACGATGTTTGTGTGGTGCGTTAAAAAAAAGTTTATATGAATGCTTTCAAAAACTCGAAATCCCAGTTGTTTTTCCATCGAGAAACGCATTTTGTACGAAAAAAAAACGTGAAAAATAATACATTTTTATTTACATAATTATGTAAACATGAATTTTAACTGTTCCGCCGACTCTGTTTTCAAATATAATAAAATCGTTTACGGAACAATTATGGACAGCTCTGCTGTGAGTCAAGTTTGTGGCAGATTACGATTTTATTTATCCGTGAACAATGTCCGGTGTAGTTAGTACTAAGTACACACTATATATTTATCATCGTTGTTCGTTCAGTGTTCCACCTATGGTTTATACCTATTTTGAACACCGAGAACGGAGCGAAAATGTAACTAGTTTTAATGTAACTTGTTACCCAGTTTTCACTCCTCCTCGGTAGGTATAGTGCATGAACTAAGATAAATATTGTCTTAGTTCATGGTATAGTGTACGTTTTAAAAAACTTCACCCACTATGTGCACTGTACGTTTGTTCGAACTACAACGAAGACTATTCACGGATAAATATAACCGTAGTGTGTGATCAACCTTACACCTTGTATAATAAATAATAATATACATAATATAATTGTGTAAATACTATATAGGAAATGCGGTTTCTGGACATACAAGCTGATGTTAATCCTCGAGTTTCCGGACATTTTTTCAGATCAGTACGGGTTCGAAGACGATGGACCCCCAGATACCGCCGATTGCCTGGGTGCAAGAGACAGCAGGACGATACACGTCAACATCGCTGAAGTTATCTTCAAGCACTGTTCGAACTGTATATCCACGGCCAAGTACAGTATACTGTCGTTCTTGCCCATATTCCTCTTCGAACAGTTCCGGCGTTATTCAAATTGCTTTTTTCTACTTATAGCGCTCTTACAGGTAAATCTTATCTGCATACTGCGATTTCGTTTGAGTATCCTAGTATGGTTCATAATTTCATATCATGAACTTATAGCCTATATAGTATACTATTTACTATACTATAGTATATCATATACTATAGTATAGTATATTAGTATATATCAGTAGCGCAACCAGAAATATCCTTTGGGGGGGGGGGTCCAAAATTATATTACAACAGATATAAACATAAATAATTGTGTTAATAATAAATGTATTTTTTATTTGTGTTACCATATTAATAATAAAATGTAAATATAATGAAAATATATCAAATAAAATTATAAAATAAAGTCTAAACGACGCTTTAAATTCGATAAACGCTGTATTACTTCTTCGGACTTGACATCAATATCATAGTGAATATTGAGAGCAGCTAGTCCATTCAATCTCGATTAGGACGTTGAGTTTCTTAAGTAAGTTTTAATGCGTTTGAGTGTAGAAAATGATCTTTCAGCTTCGCAAGATGTGACAGGAAGTGTGACCAGTATTTGCAAAAGCTTAAAAACATTTGGAAATAAATCTGAATTGCAATTATTCAATATGTTGATGGCATTTTTTGTTTTAATGTTACTATCATCTAGATAACGATTCCATAGTAAAATTTCTGATTTCACAAGATCTCGTAGATTGTTTACATCGACATTCAATTTTTTTAATTCAGTAATTATATGATTCGCTAAACTTTTACCACTCACATCATGTACTGGAATAAATTTTAAAAAATCTTCACGAATATTTTTGTTTTTCTTATCATAATAACGGGCACATAGAGCAAACTGTTCAGTACCCGATATATTTATTTTTATTTATTTATTTATATATATTTTACGCCAATCGGCAGTTAAACAATAATACATAATATGTAGGTAATAACAATTAGATAACAAATTAGTAATAAGCATAAAAACTCTAAACAAAAACTAGAGCGTACAAATAACAAGAGCAGCCTGAGAACGCAGCCAAAACAGCTAAGGTATATTTAAGTTAGTAACTCTGAGCATTCTGTGAAGTGGATGATTGTAACCATAGGCAGTAGAGTGATGGGGAACATAAAACTGGTCTAGGTTTCGTATTCCACGGGTAGGAACTTTAAATGGAATTTTAGCAAGTAAGTTAGGAGCGTCTAAAGTACCATTTAGAAGGGAAGTTAAAAAGTGTACATCTATATCGGTGCGACGCGTAGAGAGAGATGGGATATTAAACATTTTACGTAGTTGGACATAGTCATGGGGGGACACGTCAGTTTTACTCGTAAATGCTAAGTAGCTTAGGAATCGATTTTGTACCTGTTCTAGCTTATGCTGGTGTCTTGCAAGGTATGGGTGCCATACCACAACTCCATACTCGATAATTGGTCGCACTAATGTAAAGTAGAGGGAACGAAGACAATTCACTGATGTGAAATGTTTAGTGTTGCGTTTAATAAATCCGAGAACCTTAAGAGCACGTGCTACTATTGCATCAATATGCTGGTTAAATGAAAGAGAAGACGTATAAAGGATACCAAGGTCTTTAATTTGGAATACTTGTTTAAGTGGAAAGCCATTGATGGAATATGTTCTGTTTGTAGATGAACGTGATTTAGTGAAGGTAATTGAGTGACATTTGTCAAGATTAAGTACCAGTCCAAGACGATTTACCCAGATAGAAAATAATCGAATATAATAGATATATCAGCGGTTTCGTCCGCTATTATTGAAAAAAAATTACTTTCATTAATTCTATTTACAATTTTTGATGAAATAATTTCATAACAAATGCTAACAATTTCATTTTGTATTTTCCAACTTATGTATTGTGCATTTCTACCACAATTTTCTCTTGCTAATATAAAACTTTCATCGCCGGATGTAGCAGTTGCCTTAAGGAAAAATCTCAATAACGCCAAACAAAATTTATTATACTTACAATATATTATTATATTCCCAAATTAATTAAAAAATGTTCCATTTTATAAATACTCAAGGGGGGGGTCTGGACCCGGGGACCCCCCCTTTGGTTGCGCCACTGGTATATATATATATATTTAAATTAGAAACTGTGTTATAATTCAAAACATACAGACATTACCTATAGATTATAGTAACTATAGGTATAATCATAATATGGTATATAACATCCGTTGGTAAATGAAAGTTTTATTATTAAAAAAAAATAAAAAATGTCTGTATGTTTTGAATTATAACACAGTTTCTAATTTCAATTAATTAGAAATATATCATTATTATTAATTATTATACTCGTTAGTCGTTTCTATTGGGTTATCAATAATTTGGTTTTTGTGGTGAAAATTTAAATCAGGTATTTATGCAAGAAAAATAACAACGAATAGTAGGTGTGCATTGATAACAAATCGTAATTTGAGTATATTTATACGCTTGAATGCAATACTGATATCTGCCTGGCGCCGGACGTATACCGTCGTGGCGTCGTCCGTCACACCCGAGCCTTTTATTGGGCGTCGCTGTTTCGGATTTATGTGTCACCACCGGTCACTGCCGACGCGTTTGAACGATGAACTGATATACAATAAGGAAAACAACGTTTCCCAAGTGTATTTGACGTGTAATTTGCTAAAAGTATGATATTCTATGCTGCACTCTTTGATATTAACTGACCTTACTGTCGAGGCCACTCGGCTGTAAATGTTAATGGCTTCGTGACCTTTGTATCGGGGTTTTGATTTATTATGCCTGCTGGTGCCCGGGATAGTTCATAAATTCGTTTCCAGTGGAATATTGTATATACATACATAAAATATATAAAATGCATATTGTATTGCATATAATATACTACAGGTATATGGTAGGGATGGTTTATCCATTTAACATTTTTATGAGTCCACCAAAAAAGAAAGTTATTGTGGATGTTTTAAAAATCTAGTGTCATAAAATAAATATTTAAATATTAAATTGATCAACAAAATGATTTTAAGCACTTTAAATATCCCGTACTTTTTTTCAATTTTACTATTATGTTTGTATACCTAGTTATCTACATCTTACAAGTTATTCAGTTACTAGATATTATATAAAAACATTTTAAATGTATGTGAAATTCGTTTATATTATATGCCATTATAATTTCGCTCACAAGGTATACAGTATTCACTATACATTATAATATTATACAGTTTACAGTTTATTTACATAAACAATTATGAATATTTTTATTTGATGACTGTACCTACGTATTGATTGTTTCAATTTCAAAATATACATTTCCACAACAAAATTGACTAACTATATGTATCGAGGGGCTTTGGGTAATATATACAAAACTTGACAATAATAATATATCATGGGAATATCATAGACAGAATATTTTATTATTTTTTTTAAAAATTATTTATGTGGGTTTATCAACATTTGATACAACATTTTGTAAAGCGTATTCCGTGTTTTTATGTTTTTACATGTTTTACACATTAGTTTTTTTCTAAATCAAAAATATCTTCCGATGTGGTAGATTTCAGGCGTTTGTGGAGTGATCAAATAGGGGGGGGGGGAGATTGAGTTTCTCCTCGTGTTCTCTCTATTTTTAATCCCTACTAATTATTTTCATTAGTCGTTACGTTTTTCTTTACAATATTGTGTTAAATAAGATATTCAACTTAAATTTGATGAATTATACAATTTATTATATTATGATATTACTAAACAGATGTGAATAATAATTTTAAAAAGGTGGGCAAGTGGGTGTCATTCTTCTGTATTGTAAGTTACAATTGGGTCACTGTAATGGATGGTGTTAAATTTGAATTCAATGATATAATATCATTGTATAAGAAAAACGATTCTGAGGGTAAATGGTAAATGGTCAGTCAGCCTATGATATTACTAAGTATATTGGATGATATTATTGTGAATAAAATAATTTATATATAACCTATTTACGTGGAACCTTGTTTTACATTTTATAAATTTTTAACTACAAAATAATTATTAAATTTTAAATTTGATAAATTTTGTCGAAATTCGAACTTTAAATGCTTATAAAAATAATTGTGCCTATGTATCTTTAATGCTTTTCAACTGCTATTGTAACCGTATGTCAGGAGCCTTGTATAAAATGTTCACGCTTTTTTACCCAACAAATAAAATTGTATTGATATTTAAAGAAAACAGAAAACTAAAAAAAAATGAAAATTGACAATCTCCGTAAACAGGTCGAAAAGAGTAAAATTATTTTAAACATTCTTACAAATTATTGTATGGTGCATTGAAAATGCTAATATAAACATTCAGTGAAATTTTCAAGTATCTACAGTCATTCGTTTTTTAATTACAACAAAATAAGAAAATCATTACATGAGAAATCGAGTGAATATCAAATGTTGTAAAAATATGACATCAAACTCTCATAAAAATTTAATTTGTGTTTCTTGTAGACATTTTTTTTTTGATAAAGGTAGACAAACTTATGAGGAATCTTGTATTAATGTATTACATTGCAAATCTCAGATTTAAAAAGAAAAAAATATTTCTAACTCGAAATAACTTGTAAATTTTCGTCATTTTTACGTATTTTGTCAATATTTGAGCTTTTAATGCGTATAAAAAAAAAAATTGTGACCTTGGATTTTTAATTTTTTTAATCTACTTTTGAAACAATATACTAGGATTCTTCTATTCAATTTTCAAGCTTTTTTAACCAACAAATTAAATTTTATTGATATTTATAGAAAAAAAAACTAAAAAAAGGTGGGCAAGTGGGTGTCGCTCTGCTGTACAGTAGGTTACTAGTGGGTCACTGTATAATGGATGGTATTAAATTTGAATTCAATGATATAATATCATTGTATAAGAAAAACGATTCTGAGCGGTGACGGTATGTCAGTCTATGTATAAGACATATTATATACATATCTATGGTATTAAACAAAAAATTGACCTATAATAAATTCCAAATTAATCATATCACAATATCCATTAGATACTTATAACACGTTATACATCAACAAAAACCGTGATACTATCATAGATATATAATAGTACACTTTAGAAGTTTCAAGTACCCACGAATAATATTATTCAATCACAACAAAATAACTAAAATAGTTATTCTAGGTTTGTTAATATGTAATTTCGTCCAAATTTGAATTTAAAATGTCTGTAAAAAATAAGTGTGTTCATATATTTTTTAGATTTTTTGGTTACAGTATGAACTATTTACGAGAACCTTTGTGTTGAATTTGCAATCCCTAGCTATAAAAACTGAACATTTTATAATTTATTAATTACAATGATTGATAATTTTCGAGATTTTGATAAATTTTGTCAAAATTTGATCTTTAAATGCTTATAAAAAAAAACTGTGCCTATGTATTTTTAATATTTTTCAACTGCTATTGTAACAATATATCAGGAGCCTTGTATTACATTTTTACACTTTTTGGCCCAACAGATAAAACTTTATTGATATTTATAGAAAAAAAAACTAAAAAAAATTGAAAGCTGTAAATGTCCATAAACATCTCAAAAAGAGTCAAAATATTTTCAAAATTGTATGGTGTATAGAAAATGCTAATTTAAACATTGAGTGAAATTTTCATGTATCTACAGTTGTTTGTTTTTGAATTGCAACAAAATAAGGAAATCGCTACATGAGTAATCGAGTGAATATCCAATGTTGTAAAAATTTGAATTTCAAACGCTCATAAAAATTTAACTTGACTGTCCGGTAGAGATTTTTTTATTGATAAAGGTAGATAATCTTATAAGGAATCTTGTGTTTCATTTTCAAATCTTAGATTTAAAAGAAAAATTTTTACGAATTCTTAACTCAAAATAATTTGCTAATTTTCGTGATTTTTCCATATTTTGTAAATTTTTGAACTTTAAATGCTTATAAAAAAAAATTGTGACTAAGGATTTTTAATATTTTTCATCTGCCTTTAAAACAACATATTAGGAGCCTTCTATTAAATTTTCAAGCTTTCGCAACCAACAAATAAAATTTTATTGATATTTCTAGAAAAAAAACTAAAAAAAATGAAAAATGAAAATGTCCCTAAACAGTTCAAAATAAATCAAAATATTTTGAAAATGTTATCGTGTATAGAAAATGCAAATATAAACAACCAGTGAAAATTTCATGTATCTACGGTCATTTGTTTTAAAGTTACACCAAAAACCAAATTCGATTTTTTGGAAAATCGATTTTGCGTAAAAATTCCCGTTTTTCCTTAATTTTTATGTTGTTTTTCCCGGCGCTTGTGAAAACTACTGGAAAATGTTTACTTTTGACCCCCCAAAGTACCAACTAGATTCACTTTCCTATCAGAAAAGGTACTATTGAAGAAAATCGAAGCACTTTTACTGTCCCAAAACGTGATGACAGACACAAAAATATAAAAATATAAAAACACACATCATTGTAAAACCAATACATTCATCGCTCCGCTCAGAATCTAAAATGGAAACTGAAAATGTCCGTAAACAGCTCAAAATAAGTCAAAATATTTGGAAAATGTTATGGTGTATAGAAAATGCTAATATAAACACTCAGTCAAAATGTCATGTACCTACGGTCATTTGTTTTAGAGTTGCACCAAAAACCAAACGATTTTCTCGAAAATAGATTTTTCGTAAAAAATAAATATAGATTAAGTTTAATTTTCTGAAATAAATTGATTTATGCATTCACAGGTACAAATTAACAGTAAAATCACTTAAATATATACTTGTAATACGTGTTCTATAAAAAATTTTGAGTAAATTTGAATGAATATATTATTATGTTAATTTCTTTTTTAAAAAAGAAACCGATTGTTTAGAACAGAATATATATTCGTATACAAATTTATTTAACCTCAAATATTATTTAAATTACAGGTGTTAAATTGTTAACCATATAAAGATTATATAAGATATATTATTCATGTTTACAATAGCATAACATGCTGTTAAGATATATCATCCTAAATGTTTGTAAATTAAATTAAATTAAATTAAAATTATAAGTTTTGTGTGATTTTCCTTTTCTTTAAATTATTGTCGTAAAAGATTATTAATTATTCACCTATATTTAAAAAAGTCAAATTTATCATTAAACTAAAATGGCTTATATGTTAAACATTTTAACACACTTTAAATTGTGACCTATATAGCTGTTTAATATTATAACTTACCCAATTTTTATCATATCTATAAGTTATGAGAACAGAATAATTGGGAATGTGTTTATAATATCATAATAATGTTTAAATATTGCCAATGTATTTCACCTGAGGTAACTTTTCCCCGGGCAACGCCGGGTGGGACAGCTAGTATACGATATACTAAGTACATACCCCTAGTCAGAATTAAGGTTGCATATTCAACTTCTGTAAATTTTCTGGTGGGAAAATGAATGGAAAGTTTTCAAAATCTTTAATTTTTACGCTAAAGCAGTTTTCGACAAAATCTATTGTCTTATTTTGTTGTAATTAAAATACGAATAACCATAAATACTTGAAATTTTCACCGAATGTTTATATTAGCATTTTCTATACACAGTTTAATTTGAAAATACATTTACTCCTTTTGAGCTATATACAGTTTAAAATTTAGTTTTTTTCTCTAAATATCACTATACATCTTTTTGCTTGGTCAGAAAGCTTGTAAATTTAATACAAGGTTGCAATAAATTAAAGAAATGAATAATGGCATAAATTGTTATGATAGCAGTTTATAAATATTAATAATACTTAGGCACAATTTTTTATAAGCATTTAAAGCTCAAATTTAACACATCAATTACAGTGACCTACACGACACCTAATGTACAGTAGAGCAGAGCAGAGCCACTTCACATTTTTCACTAAATGGCGGGCTTTTGAGTTTTGATTACATTCTCTTTTAGAATATCCATTTTCAAATTTGTACTTATACTAGGTAGTAGGTACTTTATTAACTATAAATACAAGAAGACTAAAATAACACAAGACTATATTGAAAAAAAAAATAGAAGTACCTTGTCTAAGCAATACATTATATGATATGATCAAAGATTATGTTGCACTATACTCATAAGTCATAACTACTTAATATATGGGTTGAAAGTGACATTCGAACGTGATTCAAATTCAACAGCTGTAGAATGCGTTTATTAAAAATATTTTTTGAATGATAAAATATAATTGCATCAATAGGAAAATATTGATATAAATTAGAAAATAATACCTTAAAATTGAATTTTTAATGTCTATCATTCCATACAATAGATTACGGATATTTAATTTGCATCGTTACTTGTAAATATTATTACATAATACCTATTTTATTTATTAAAAGGGACGATTGAGTAAATCACAAAATTACATTGAAAAATTGTGTTCACGTACTTAATAAAAATTATAATTGTATTTAAAACATTTCTGATATTAAAACTATTGTATATGCCAACATTTAGTATAAGTTCTTTTTCATTTTGGTGAAATACTAAAATTATTTATTTTTTACTATAGAGATGAATGTAAAACACATTTTGTATGTAACATTCAAAATTTGTATAGACTGGAACTATTTGTAAATTGTTTTAAAAATGGATTAAATCATTTGAAATTATTACATTTTATTTTAATTATTTTATAATTTTTATTATATATTAAACTAAACTTGATAATATCCGATCTTTTAAATGATTTTAAATTAGAATTACTAGAATAATAATTAGTTAAATCAGGATAAAAGAAGTAAATAAGTACATAAAAATGAACATACCGTCAATCAAGGTGACTTGAAACGATTTTGACATTCTTAGTATTATGAGCTTAAAAAAAATCGCACTGGGTTACAAAAATTATATTTATTTCCGCATACGTCTAATGAATTGAATAAAACCTTTAATATTTAGTTTTTTGATAAAAACTTGCTTAAAAAAATAATAATAAATACGTGTTACAAGTCACCTCAATTTTTGGGTGACTTGTAACAACTATGAAAATTCAACTTAAAATTCAATTCAAGAACATGAGAGTTGACTTGTAACAAAATATTTATAAATGTTTACATGCTTAACATTTTAGTGAAATCAGAAATATTATCTAACTTACTTACTTTTAATGTCAACAAAAAAATAAGACATTGAAGTTTTTTTACCATCATTTCCAAATGAAGTAAGAGGGAATTTTTTGAAAATACCATCAAATTAAGCATGCAAAAACACACATTTAGGAAAAAAATCGCTTAGAAGCTAAACTGCATTTTATGCATTGTATGCGTTTTTATGATGTTACAAGTCACCCTTAGATTTATTTGAAAAATAAAACTAAAACTATATAATTGAGAAAAAATGTTTTTAAACTTCTAATTAAAATATTCTTCTTTTGAAGTATCTTTTAATATATACAAAATATACCAACCTCTAAACTCAACATCTATCACTAAAATCTGAAGCACTTTTGAAAGCAATGATAAAATCGCTGTGATCATGAAAAATGTTTGGCTATTTTTTTCGGAGGTAATGATTAGACCAATGGTTGAAGATAACATTTATGGTCATAAATATGATAAACATATTTTTAATAGAGGTAAAATTAAATTATATTAAATACACTTATAGATATCTTGAAATGTTTAAACAAAACCCAAATTGTTACATCTCACCTCGTAGTTTCAAGTCACCTTGATGGACGGTAACTCAAGTCCAACATTTGTTAAAATGTATTTTCTTAGGGTCATATCATTAACTGTTAGTCCTATAGTATTTAGGCCAAAGTGCCAAACAAAAACTTAAAGTATTTTTTTTATTTTATTCCAGCAAATACCGGAAGTGTCTCCCACTGGTCGATTCACAACATTAGTACCATTATGTTTTATTCTTTTAGTCTCTGCACTTAAAGAAATTATTGAAGACTTTGTAAGTGTTTACTCATTATACCCTTTGTAATCATTACTCTACAACTATTACTGATTTTTTTGTATGTGTGTTTTATTAGAAAAGACATAGAGCAGACCGTGAAATCAACCATCGAAAAGTGGAAGTCTTAAATGACGGTATTTGGACGCCACAACGATGGGATCTCATAAACGTAGGGGACATTGTTAAAGTGCAAAACAATACGTTCTTCCCCGCCGATCTTCTAATACTTTCTTCCAGGTATGTTTCATAATGTTCATTATGCGTGTTTATTTCAAACACAATATAATATTATAGTTCACTGGTTCACTAGTCCTATGATCATTGTATTATTTTTGTTTCTAGCGAACCACAAAGTATGTGTTATATTGAAACAATGAACCTAGATGGTGAAACAAATCTCAAAATACGACAAGGTCTTCCAGAAACGTCACGTTATGTCGATGCAAATGATCTCATGCGCTTTAAAGGGGTAATTGAGTGTGAGCTTCCAAATCGGTTGATCTATGATTTTGCTGGCAGCTTAAAATTGGTAGATAGAGTGTGAGTATCACTTTATGTAAGTAGTGTAGTTTTCAGCATTGTAATAGTTTTTATTTTCAGTCCATTGTCTTTGGGTCCCAACCATCTGCTTTTACGAGGTGCCATGTTGCGTAACACCGCTTGGGTGTGTTGTGTAGTTATTTACACCGGCCACGAGACAAAGCTCATGATGAACCAGACTTCAGCTCCTCTAAAAAGGTCGACCGTAGACAAAATTGTTAACACGCAGATTATAATGCTTTTCTTGTTGCTGTGTACATTGTGTTTGATAAGCGCGGTTTGCAACATTATTTGGACCAAACAGAAAGGATCAAAAGACTGGTATTTACAAGTAGATGGTAAGTAATATAATTTACTATCTGTTTTCGTAAAATTTAAAATTATTTTTCTGTATTTTTATTTTCAGATTTTGTTACATTCAAATTTGCATTTAATTTACTCACATTCTTTATACTATTTAACAATTTAATTCCTATTTCGTTGCAAGTGACTGTTGAAGTTGTACGCTTCATGCAAGTAAGTTGTATCATGAATAACTTAATGGTCACTTAGTATTTTATATTTATAATTGTTTTTTAGGCACTGTTTATCAACAACGACATTGAAATGTATCACCAAGAAAGTAATACACCAGCTATGGCACGAACTTCAAATTTAAATGAAGAATTGGGCATGGTAATTTGTGTTAAGCATTGTGAATGAACAAGATACGTTATATTACTTATTTTTTTTAGGTTAAATATATTTTTTCTGATAAGACTGGTACGTTAACAAGAAACGTTATGGAATTTAAACATTGTTCAATAGCTGGAGTCCTTTACTTAGAAGGTTCACAAGATACCTTAATAAATGTGTGTAAATGTTGTGTTTTTTATTTATGCTGTTTAAATTGCTTTAAAATTTAAAATTTGATTTGTCTTTTATACAGAATTCAAAAAACCATCCAACTCAAGATTATGTTTTAGAATTCTTAAGAATGATGTCTGTTTGTCATACGGTTATTCCGGAGAAGATTAAAGATTCAGATGAAATGTTATACCATGCGTCATCTCCAGGTTTTTAAATTGCTTATGTTGTTTATTAATGTAGAGTCTTATTTACCTATTTTTACTATCATTAGATGAGCAAGCGTTGTTGAAAGGGTGTCAATTGTTTGGTTATGTGTTCCATACCCGTACTCCTAGAGCGGTCACTGTTTCAGCATTGGGCATCAACGAGGAATATGAAATTTTGACTGTCATAGAGTTTACTAGCACTAGAAAGCGAATGTCCGTCATTGTGCGTGCACCAGATAAAAAGATTTATCTCTATTGTAAAGTAAGTTTATTGATTACTTCAACAATAAGTTGATTTTAAATATTTAAACAAAATTTTTTTCAGGGTGCTGATACTGTTATTTTTGAACGGCTTTCAAGGGTTGGTGAAGAGTATAAAGAAATAACATTAAAGCATCTCGAAGAATTTGCAAATAATGGTTATCGTACATTGTGTTTTGCTTATGCCGAGATTTCGGAGCACACTTACTCTGATTGGAATGAAGAATTTTTGAAAGCGGGTAATGTTCTCACAAATCGCGAGGGTGCTATTGATGAGGTGGCCAAATTAATTGAAGTAAATCTCATTCTGCTCGGGGCAACAGCCGTTGAAGACAAATTACAAGATCAAGTCAGTTCATAGCAATTTAAATGTTTGATAATTAGTGACTTATGAATATGTTTTGATAAAGGTACCAGAAACCATTGCAGCTCTGATTAAAGCGGATATCAATGTTTGGGTACTGACTGGAGATAAACAAGAAACTGCCATTAATATTGGATTCTCAACAAATCTGATTACACAAGGAACTCCTTTAATTATACTCAATGAGCCTACATTGGATGTTAGTGTACTATTCAGTCAGTGTTAAACCATAATAATGTATTGTTGTTTTAATTTAAAGGAACTTAGAGAATCATTACGGCAGCACATGAGTGAGCTGAGACCAGCTGTAGGGAAGCCTGATAATCCTTTAACACTAGTAATTGATGGCCAGTCATTGAAACATGCTCTATCCCATGATCTAAAAATGGATTTCTTAGAACTATGTAAGAGTTGCAAGTCAGTTATATGCTGCCGTGTATCACCTATGCAAAAAGCAGAAGTATGTTTTGAATTTTTATTCTACAAACGTCTAGTAAATTTTTATTTTATTTTATCTTGAAACAGGTTGTAGAATTAGTAACGTTAAATACACATCAAGTGACTTTAGCAATTGGTGATGGGGCAAATGATGTGGCAATGATCCAAAAAGCACATGTTGGTGTTGGTATATCGGGTGTTGAAGGATTACAGGCTGCTTGCGCATCTGATTATTCTATAGCCCAAGTATGCATTACAGTAGCTATAATTATATTTTGTTTTAAATTTTTAAATTATCATTTTAACAATAACATTAACAATTTATAGTTTAAGTTCCTGCTGAAATTATTGTTTGTCCACGGTGCTTGGAATTATAATAGAATGTCAAAGTTGATTTTGTATAGTTTCTACAAAAATATTTGCTTGTACATCATTGAGTTGTGGTTTGCAGTTTATTCCGGTTGGTCCGGTCAAATCATTTTTGAAAGGTGGACAATTGGACTATATAATGTTGTAAGTGTTTTTAAAATTTAAAGTGTAATTGAAAATGGTTATTTCAAATTTCTCATTTAATTTTGTTCATAGCTATTTACTGCTGCTCCGCCCTTGGTAATCGGTATATTTGACATTGTGTGCACTGCAAACACAAGGCTCAAGTTTCCTCAGCTCTATTCGCAGACTTTAGACACATTTAACGTACGGATATTTTGGATATGGGTGTTTAACGCTATACTTCACTCGTTTCTGTTATTCTGGATTTGTATGTTTGCATTGAAACATGAAGTTGTCTGGTCTAATGGAAAAGAAGGCGGTTACTTACTCATGGGAAATTTTATATACACAGTAAATTAAATTTCATTATTTCTGAAATACAGTAAAATGTACATTAAACATTGCATATTTTGTATTTTAGTATGTTGTCATTGTTGTGTGTCTCAAAGCTGGCCTTCATATACAGTCATGGTCTTATATTGTACATACTGCTATATGGGGTTCAATTGCTGCATGGTTCGTGTTTCTGGTCATCTACAGGTAAGAGTGTTGAAATATAATTGATTATTGAAAAAAAATATATTATTAATTATAATTTTTATTGTCACTAATATTGTATATTATAAGCAAAGTATATTATTTTATATTAGTATGTATTAAGATTTAAGTTAACTGCAGTTATTACACAAAAGGTGGTAATTTAGGCCTAATAATTGTTTAACAAAATTTTCGTACTATGATTTAATGGATTTATTGGATATTTTTAATATTCTAAAAACAGTTTTAATACAACACTTAAATTGTAAAAATACCATTTTAATTATTATACTATTTTATATTTTTGTAGAATAATATTTTTATTATAGTTGTATAAATGTATAATATATTACACGTCTACACAGTACTCATCTAACTGCAGTCCCTTTAATTATATTAAAATTAAAAAGTGTTTATTACTTTATTATTTAAAATATCATGTAGTATTTTGATTTTCAAATATGAATTCGCGTAGTGTGAGAAAATGCAAATATTATTTATTGTATCATGATAAATGATAATATTTGATTTTTTAATATATTTTTCATGTATATTATATTAAATTACTTAAATTACTTCTATGATTAATACTTAGATTTTTTACCTTTATTTCAGTCACGTATGGCAGGTATTCCCTATTGGTTCTGTGTTTACTGGCATGGATGTCATGGTATTCACATCACCAATTTTCTGGATTTTGATGCTGTTTTCAGTAACTGTTGTCATGGGATTGGATTTAGCGGCTTTATCGTTAGTAAACTTAGTTTAAAATATGGCATTATACCCAATGTATACTTTATTTTTCAACTTTTATATTATTTTTAGAATTAAAACAACTACCAAAAAAACTCTGGTCCAAGCATTAAGGGAAAATGAATTACGAAAACCAGAAACAAACAATGTTGTTAATCCGAGACATAGGTTTGTGTAAAATGTTATGGTACAAAAATTTTTCGTGTTTTCGAAATAACCTTTGATGTACAGTTTTTATTAGATGAATAAATTTTTATACCGTGTAAAAAGTGTCATTATTAATTAGTTAGTATTATATATTATTCAGGAATATTTGATGATAATAATTTTATAGTAGATATATTGTGTTGTTGAATTATTGTATACAAGTTGAAATGTAAAATAATATTGGTTGAATGGTATCTTGTATACAATTTTAAATTTTATATTATAACGGTTGAACGATATCTATAAAACCTATGGTGACATGCAATACCATTTATTTTCTGTAGCACATTATATAATATGTAAATTATTCATTTGTTGTGTAAATGTTCTTAAGTGTAGTCACGTATGTTAATATGTGTGCACGTTATTTATTTATTGTTTCTAGAACAAACGAAAAGGCACGTCTCCTTGAGAACGTAAAAAATGTTTTCAATTTCAAATCTCGATTACAATCGACCACGGAAGTTGAAATGAACCGTAAGTGACAAAATAATAGGTGTTGTGACTTATTGTTTTTACGTTAGTTGGTTTCTGCACGCAATTTTGTTTGTTCGATGATCCGGTTTGATCAATATCTAGTGGTGTTCGTTTATTGGTTAATTAATATTATTTTTTAGATGGTTTTGCTTTTTCACAAGAAGAAGGAGGCGCTGTCAGTCAGTCAGATATGATACGCGTGTACAACACGTGCTCGCCAACTCCAGAAGTCGTATAAATGCGTGTGAACTGCCGCTAAACCACTGTTAGTAAAAACTAATAATAATCTTAAACATATAATACCACGTGTCAAGCACTTAGTTTTAGAATCTGTTAGCTGGTCACACATATTATTTTTATTGTTAATTTAATTACCGTCGCTATAACTTTTTGTTTTGATGTTTACTATTATTATTTTTATTAATATTATCATCTCATCATCATCACAAACATTTTGTTTGGACATTGTGCTCACCGTAATAATGTTATTTTTAATTTGTACATCAAAATATCTGGTGCAAATCTCATGGATCAATACTCCTTGACATTTGTTTACAGTTATTTATCGACTACTCAGTAGTATTCACTATATAAATTAAAAACAAAGACGGCTATATACTACACTAGATACAGATAACAAAATTAACTGCTAATTAATATGGGAAGAATTAAAAATCTTATAGCCTATAAACCAGAGGTATTCAAACTGTGTGTCGTGGCTCCCTGGGGCGTCGCAAGAGTTGACAAAAGAGAGCCGGAAACTAAAATTAATGTAGTTCATGTATAATTAATATAAAACAATATTATTTATAATCATTAAAGCGGTTATAGAAACAATAACGAAACACATCACCCGACCATTTTAATTATTATTTCTAGTACTAAAGTCACTGGTATTATCATCCATATTGTCCATATTGTATCAATTTTTTCAAAATAATTTGGGAGCCGTCAAAGTATTGTGAACACTCAAAGAAGCAACGGGATGAAAAAGTTTGAATGCCTCTGCAGTATAGGTACAAATACTAGAAGTAGTTAATTAATAGTGTCCATCTACCATATTTTGACTTATAAATTGCATAATAATATATTTTATTCATATTTATTTTTCAATGTTTGTTTGCTAATCAGCAATCATGAATATATGGGGAAAAGGATCATATTATATTTTGATATTTTATTTTTATCTAGTGTAGTACCTACCCAGAAGTTTAAGGATAAAATATTAACGCTCCCAGAAGACCTAACTACTAGTTGTAAGTTTTTTTCTATAGGTACAATGTACAACGTACATGGCAAATACAGTACGTAACTTGTAGATTGTAGATCTATTATATTAAGTGGACTGCACACTTTTTCATATAAGTACCTATCTCTAGAAAATATGTAAAGCTTTTTATTAGAGTGGACTTCAAAACTCAAGTGTAAACTATAGTAGAGAAACTTTAGTTTTTATTTTTTTAAAGCAATTTCTAGTCAAAACAGTAATTAAGTTGAAATTACGTATAAATATCTATTACAATAGATTTAAGAAAATCACATAAATTAATGTTTACTTTATTTCTTAAATTATTATTTTGTGATATTTGGCCTGGCAATAGTTTAAGCTTGAGGCTTGACAATAACCAACATGTATAGATGTGCGGTCCATGATATAATAGGTTTTTGAGCATCATAATATTATATTATTATCACCCTTCATGTATTATATAATATGTATTAAACAAGACAGCTCAACCTTGTCCAATAATTGTCCATACAGTGGATATTGTTTTTATGCCCCATAACTGCTTCCAAAATTATTAAAATATCACACATTTGCCAAAAATGTAATACACACAACGCTTTTTAAGATTACGCAAAAATTGTTCCATTCTCAGTGGCTGAGCTCATTCTTGAATTCTTCTAGTATTTTCTACAGTTGTGTCTATGTACTACTGTATGGATAGGGTGACCAGCCACCAGTTTATCGGGACAAATATTTTAGTTTCTATCAAAAAACAGATTTTTCTCTGGTCACACTTCTGTTCATTATAATATTATATTCATAATTAATTATTGTCAGTTTCAATTTGATTTAATCATCGTTATTATTATTATTGTTTTCGATAAACTTGTCGACCTTTAAAACCTCAGCCTGACCTGACAGCCTGAAATGAATCGTACAAAAATCGCTAATCGACACTCGACCCGGGTAATTTAGAGTAGTAGTAGAGTTGTTGTCGAACATGGAACCATATTATTATCTCCTCCGATTTCCTAGAGCTCGAGATACGCGAGGAATGCTCGATTCCGTCTGCTAATCGTAATTTTCTCGCGGCATGGAAGAAGAGCGCACAATCGATCATCGTAAAGTCGGAAACCGTACCTCAGTGTCGTCGCCAAGCATTTTCTCTGACCCACAGACGCGAGCTCGTCATTTATCCCTTCTATAATGAGACTTGTCGATAATAATATTTTTATACTTGCCTATAACTATAATATGTTTATACCTAATTTGTTACACCTATTATTGTGCGTTTCCCGTATCCTATCGCGCACGTGTGTGTACAATACTTAGACATTCATAAGAATCGTACTTTCGTACCCACTAATTTATACTAAAAAAATAATGTTAAAATAATATGTTAATGTAAATATAATATACTGCCTACACATTTTATAATATAGGTAGGTAATGTGAACAAATCTCTGGATTTGAACACGTCACATCGTACATAGAACGCCGCATGTCCTATTATATAATGCACTTATGTTACTCGATGGCTCAGTTATGCATTTTATACATTTTAAACTATATAATCGTACTGAAGTTCGTTTTTCGTTTTGCATCGCTGATGTTGTCCTTAACCCTCTGTAACTGTACCATGCAAGTATCAAACAGGTAAACAGTAGGTACCTAAATATTGCAGACATAGAGTATGTAGTTAAGACCTTGGCAAAAACGTTACAGAAAATTGTTGCTCGCCATTCAGCATTTCACAACAGACCTAGTTATATTGTATTTCAAATGTTCACATCAAACTCGAAATTTCTTTTGTTCAGTTCAGTGGATTATAGTGGGACATGCTCGTTTTGTTCAGTGCAGATGTACAATGTACATACGGTTATGTATCTATCATCTACCTAGTACCTACCTAATAATATATTGTATTCTACACCTGTTGAATTAAGGAGGTAAACGATGACTTATAGGGCGCGTTTTGTTATTTTTTTATTGTTTGTTTATTTTTTAACGTAAAATCGATTAAGCGATTACCTAATTATATAATATATTTATATACAAGGATATTATCGTATGATTCAGTACCTATCAGTAGCGTATCCAGAATTTTTTTTCGGGAGGGGTTATAATTTATTTTTGTGGAATTTTATCTTAAAATGATTTATCAATGATAACGTTGTTATAATTTAACAATTTTCGGGGGGGGGTTACAACCCCCTAACCCCCTCCCTGGATACGCCACTGGCAATGGTGGGCAAGTTAATGAAAATAATTAACTGTGGCAAGTTAAGTTAATTCAATTAAATTGCCTTCAGTTAAGTTAAAAGTTAACAAAGAAAAAAAATTTAACTCGATAAGTTTAAACTTATGATGGAAAATAAAATTAACTTATCTCAGTTAAAAAAAAGTTAATTTGTTTGAAGGTACAATATTTTTAAGTCATACTTAATTTAGTCATACTCAACTACCATAGTATTTTATATACACAAACATTTACCAAGACATTTAACACTGTGTAAAAAATTAAATTATTATAATTTATAATATATAATTCGAAAATGAATTACCAAAATTGTAAAAAAGTCGAAGAATCAATATTTCCTAGTTGATTACGCATGACTCAAAAGTAAATTAACTTAACTGGCTCGACAATGATAATTAACTATAAAAAGTTAAGTTTCGACAATAAACATTTTAACTGAATAAGTTAATAAGTTAAAAACAAAAATAATTAACTAGTTAAGTTAAAAAGTTAAAAAAAATTAACTTTTTAACTTAACTTTAACTTTTTAACAAGTTAATGCCCACCTTTGGCCACTGGTACCTATATGTTAATAAATGTGTATTTATAAATTGTTAAACAACAATGTGATAGCTACTTTCACTAAACTGATCTGTGGCACCATTTACGATATAGTATGAAACACGAGTTTTATTTTCATCACCACTGTTCATTGTATATTGTCATGACGTGTATAATATCTCGTGTGTTTGTCCGAAAGATCAGGGCAATTTAATAGTTTTTTACAGCTATATTACCTATACATATAATATATATTTTTATTTTAAAATTATAAAATATATTTACTTTATACCGTAGTACCTAACATAATATTATTTATACAAAATGCTGTTTTTAGATAAATATAATTGTCAATTGTAAAGTTGTGTTAAATTTGTCACAGTCTGTTAATTTTTCGCCCGCGTCGCTCGTCGTGCCAATAATATTATAATATTATGCTATATCATCGCTAACTCCCCAAAAAGTTTTAAAAAAAAATCCTGTTTAACTGTGAAACAGTCAAACTGGTAAACTTGGATAAAAAACAGATATTATTTGTTATGCCTTAATTGCGTGTTATAATATTTATACAAATATTCTCTCAAAGTCACAACATAATACAATTAGGTAATTCAGTTAGTCTTCAATTCAACCAGTTCAAGTATATAGGGACCTTAGTACTTAGTTGTACCTACTTGTTATATAGGTAATTGTATTGTAACAGTTTATCTATATAACTATGTATAGTAGATTGGAGGAGACAGGGGAATTTTGAAGTAAGTTTTTTTTTACTTTGATGAACTCTAACTTCCCCTCTCCATTATTAAATTCTTTCTTACTGCACAGTACACAGAGTGAAGTATCGTAGGTATTTTATATTTTTTGCAATATAATTGTATAACTGGCTAATCGGTCACCGACTAAAAAAACTTGTGTAAATTTGGGCAGTCACAAAAATTAAATATAAACTAAAAATTATTATGAAAGGTGTATTTAATAACTTTGATATATCCTTATAGAACTAATTATTGAGACCCTGGTGTCTTGTAACAAGGTAAGATAACCTGATAACCTATAATTTATTATTTGTTTCTGTATTTTCTAATCAAACTTTAAAACTGCTTGTAATCACAACAAGTTTGAAGGTACCGTAATAAAAAAGTAATAATAATATATAGGTAGTCAAAAATATCCGTTCATTGTAATGTCTACAAAATTTTAATAATATAAT